GGAATAGTCTGCTAACTTCAGCCATGGGTGAAAGCCAGTGGCAGGTGAGAGACCTGTTGTCAGGAGGAAACACGAGCATGCAGGGCTGTCAAATACCAGTTTACTCAGAAATTCTGGAGCTGGGCTGTTTCCACCAACCATTGGGGTACAGTTTCTGAGAAGTATGTTTGGGCAATTAGAGGACTTCAACAACTGGAGTAATATCACTGAAGATGCTTCCCATCAAAGCTCTTTAGGGATTAATGAATAATAAATAAGCACAAGACTTTAGCCACGGCTCTCTTGTCCCTTCAGAACTACCTTCCATGTGAACGAAGCTCAGTGAGCAAGGTTGGAGCTCCTGATGTATCCCTTGTAGCCCTGGGAGATGCCACTATCAACACAGCTACTGTTGAAATGAAGAAGGAACCAAACAGATGTATCTCACTTTGTTTTGTCAAGAAAATCCTCAGGCCACACTTGGAACATCCTTTGTTTTGAGACCTTCCTTTCCCTCAACCCTGTGGTGAATTTCCTATGTCTGCGGTTTTGGGTTTTGTGGAGTAAGCAATGTGTTACCCAGACTTCACTGCTAAATTTGCAAGAGATGGAATTGACTTTGATGTGGGAACAGATATGGGACTGCTGGCTTATTTCTGGTCTCAACTTTGTCACCTTCAGAGATTGTCTCCTAAACCAGAACAAAACCAGTTTGTACTTCATAGCATGCATGCACATTTCAGCATGCCTGTTGTACACAGGATATCCCAAAAAAACAGTAATTGATTTGTCTTGGAAAAGGCTGGGGAAGAATTATATTTTTCTTAGTTTAGGAGAAGAGTTATTGTTACAGCCCAGAAAGATAAAGAATGTTGGCAAGATCTTCACAAAAACTCTCCTCTTCTTTTTTACCATGTAAAAGCAATTGTTGAATGGCATGCATGCAAAAACTAAATTGTCCAATTGACCAATTGTCCTTTCCAAAAAGGTACCTCTGCTTAAAGGACAACAGCATAATCCAGTGTAAACTATGGGTTATTTGCTGTCCTTTTGGTGATGCTGCCAGCAGTCAGGAGGGCGTCTTCTTGCCCAAGCCACAGGGCCATGAGCATTTAAAAAGAATTTCATGGTTTACTAGAATTGTGGTAAAATATTTTTCAGGCTTGAGATGTTACACTGGTTTTGAGTTTTATTTTTGCTTTGTGTCTACTGAGAAAAAAAAAATAAAAAATTCTAGGGAAGGTACCACTGTCTGTCTGCTGGAGTGGAAACAGTGACAGAGCAAAATGTGCATCTACCACAGCTGGTTGGTATGAACATGTGAGAGGTCAGGGACCACTGACCTTGGTTATTACCTTGGTTTTCTCTCCTGCTGGGAGTCAGCTCACTGCTGTTTGCAGTGTTTGCCTTTAATGGCTTTTTTCTCTCTCTGTGCCTATTCAACAGATCTGTACCTGTGGCCACTACACTGGATGTGAAGAACATGAGGTTGCTTTGTAAAACACAGGTCCTTTCAGATGCACCAAACAGCTCTTCTTTTATAGGTGAGCACATTATAGACTGTAGAATCCATTGTGGCCTATTTATTATCCATAATAACCCTCACAATGAGTTAATTACAACCCTGAGGTAATGGTGAATTTGCCCAGCTCTCTTTAAAACAGCAGAAAATAACTGATGTTATCAGAAAACCTGTCTTTGGAGGATGGGTAATTCATGCTGTGTATTCAGGGGGAATTCTTTCAAAGGCCTCTGCTCCAGTCTTTCACACCAGAAGACAATCTTCCCTCCATCTCTTTGTGTCATTTAAACTGTGCCAAATCTTCTGCAATAACATTTTTGCAAGAATATTACTGCTATCCAAGGCACCAGTTTTTGACCTTCAGGTTTTAAGTAATTTCAGGTCGAGCAGTAGTCCCACCAAAACAAAACAAAACAAAAACAACACAAAAACTCCCTACAATGATGGTGCAAACATTGATTTGTAGATTCTCCTTTTTATCACCATGTATCATCAGACCTGAGTTTCTCATCCCAGCCTCTGTTTATGTTAAAAAGTCTTACCTTTTGTCCCTATGCTTTTAAATTAACAAACATTATCCTATTATAAAAATAGTATTTCAAGGCTATGTGTATCATATGTTTAGAGCACTTCTTTTTCCCACCATCAGGAAAATAAAAACTCCTTAAGAATCCCTGTTTTAATTTTCAGAAAGACATAATACCTCCACTGCTCTCACTGCAGCATCCTGTGTGCTGCTGTGCTGTAACTGCAATACAAAGGTTGCCGAGGTTCCCCAGGCTTTAAGAATTCTGCAGGCTTTAAACTCATACACAGTTTGTAATGGGGCTAAGCCAAACATCCAGAGTTTTGAGTTTAAACTCGAGCATGCATCCTAAGGCACAGTGTGCTTTCCAGGCAGAGTTCAACACTGATACTACAACATTACTGATTTATTTTGTTGTTATTCCAAGCCAAACACAGCTATTCTGGCTGGAACCCATTTTCTTTTGACCTTCACGGGTTTCAGAAAGTTTCTGAACTTTCTAAAAGATTTTACCCTCCTTAGCCTATCACTATTATTTTTGTGTGGCTCAGACATGGCTATTTCCCTTTCTGGTGAAAACACAGTAAGGACATATTTTTGAGGGTTAAAAATGCCTTTAGATTTCTCTACAACTGAGGAAGACCTTAAGTCTCCCACTGAAGCTGCAGGAGGGCCCAGATGTTTAAGAACAGTAGAGGTAGTACTGGTGTCCTTCTGAACCCCAGAAAGAAGAGCAGGGTGGGGATTTTGGGGACCCAGCTCCTTTCAAGGTGTGAGTGGTGATAGTTTTGACTCGTAGTCCTATAGCTGATTACAAATTAGAGCAGGCAAAACACAGGCATAGGTAAGAGAGAGCCTTGTGCAGATTTGGAGGGAATATGTGGTGAGCACTGGAAAGAAAAGCCTGATGATGAGCAGTGTGGGTTTGCAGTGTATCCCTGTTTCTCTGTGCTGCTCTGTGACCACGGGCTTGTTCAGAAGCCCCTGGTACCGTGGGGGTATTTGCAATACTGCCTCTAAATTGTAGCTGCTGAGAACCTGCCTGCTTCTTATTTTCTGCATCTGTGCATATTTAGGCTGTTCTGAGAGAGGGCTAAGAATAACAAGATACAAATAAGAGAATGGAAGCTTAGGTTAAATAATTGTAAAGTTGTTGAAAAAATGCTAAATTCATAAACTTGAATTATTTACGGTCACACTGGGTACGGCACTGGAAGACACAGCTGAAGGAAGGATGCAGGGAAATTCTAATTTCTGATCCTAAGCTTAGAGTGCTTCTAACGCATATTTTAGGATGTTTTTAGCTCTGAACATGTGAAATAAGACAAAATTAATTTCCCCTTCATACGCAAACCTATTAATATACCCAAAGCAAGCCTGTAGAGAAAGGCAAACCTCTGATCTGTGTACAATGTCTGCACTAAAGCCCTTTTTGTCTTTGGTGTATTTGAGCAGATCTCCCTGCTGGGTTTCCAGTGGGCTGTGCAACATCTAAACCAATATGCCAGGCATAACTCACATGGCTGCATCTGATGTTTCAGGGCTTGTCCTTGGTGTGCTGTTGAGCTCAAATATGCGTTTCCTCCAGTCTGACTTCTGTTTCCAGATCTTTGTCTCCTACCAGATGATGCCTTTAGGTCATGTTATCTTCCCCATGGGATGGGTCTGGTGAGTCAGGAATGCAAACTGAGGTTTTAATCAGCAGCAGTTTAAGTAAAGGAATGGAAGAGCAGCAGCTGGAGTTGGAATAGCTTGGGAAGCAGCAGTTCTCAGCACACCGCATAGTTTGTGCATGATTCACCATGTGACTGCTCATCAGGCTAGCTCAGGAAGCATCCCCCAAGGGGGCTGTGAAGTGACACTGCTGGGCTTTTTGGCCCTGAAAACTAAAGAAAGGAAAATGTTGATTCTTCTGTCAGGCTGGAACCTATGGGCTAAGCATGGTGACAAATAAAATACCAAACAGGCAGCCTGACTGTCCCCAGCTGCCATGGAGCTTTCCTTTGGAGCACTGACTGCCAGGGGAGGGCTGGGGTCTTGTGTGGGGCCAAAGATGATGGTGCCAGCTCATTTCACCTGAAGTTCTTTTATGGGCCCAGAAGGGGAGGTTGAACCTCTCTTAATCGACAGCACGTTCTTTCTCAAACAAAAAACCCCACAAAAAAGACAAATAACCCAAACCCTGTGTCCATGCACAATATAATGCAATATTTTACATTGTTTAATTCTACTTAGGAAAGGAGGGAGAAGAAAAATAACTAATGTTTAGGAGCAGTGATAGTAGAAAATAAGGTAGGAGGATGAAATGAGGAAAGGAATGACTAATTCTCTGGCAGTGTCTAAAATCTACTACAAAATTATCTGTATTATTTAAGAGTTTCTACTAAAACAATTCAGTGGAAGACAGTTGTACTGGGTTGTGGTTAAGACACGAGACAAGAGGGCCTGGGATGAGTTCCTTGTTCAGCCAAAAACTCTTTGGGCACTGCTCAGCATGTTTAAATTCAAGGTTTCCAATCGCCTCTCAGGAATAGAGCAAGGGGGAATGTTCTGTTTCCCAAGTCCAAGGCTATGGGGAGGATGATTCTAATTATTTTTGAGATCTCCAGTGGCCCATGGTGAAGTTTACTGGCAAATACTAATTAAAGAGAGGTGAAACCAGCAGATTCTGGGAGGTTTGATGGGTCAAACAAAACTGGACAAAGAAAGTATTTGCAGGAGGGCTGTGATGGCAACAGGAGCATTACATAGCTTGCCTTCAGTAACACTGTCCTGTTGTAGAAAAGTCTAAGACGCCATACTTAGATTTAATTTAAAAATGAGTCTGCCCTTTTGAAGGAAGGGCTAAGGCTTAAAAATACATTTGCTGCATCACAGACAAGTAGGTTCACTAATAACAAGAAGACCAAAGACAGATTTTTTGCATTAGAACACTTTATTATTTCTCTGCTTTGTTTTCTTTGGAGTCTGGCTGAAATGTTTTTGATTGCATACAAGTAGGAGATCAATTGTAATAAGGCGTGTCTCGTTCCTGGTGTTGCCGCCAGGTCTGAGGTACTTTGTGACTTTTGAACACAGCTTAGGTTTTAAAAGAAGCACTATCATAGATTCATTTTGTTTGAATAAGACCTTTAAAATCACTGCATCAATGGAAACAACCCAAAAACTCTGCATTTCCTCTTTAAGGACATCTTACTGAGAGGTACACATGTATTTGAAGTACCCAGCACAGTTTGTTTTGTTTCTTAAATAGCATGTGAGTTTAATAAAACTAAATGCATGAGAATTTCTAAAAGATCTCTTCTTCATCTTTTAGACTGCAATTCTTCATTCCTATGCTACTCTGTATTCAGGTTTCCTCTTTCTACATTGATTTTGCCTACTACTCCTATTGGGCAGTAAAAAAACGACCTTTCCAGGCTTCCTGGTATTCATTCTTTCATGGCACAAGCAGAGTTACTTGGGTTAATAAGTTAGAAGAGAAAGTTGGATTTTAATTGTCTGTTTTCTATCATATTTGAAGAAGTTATAAAAACAATTCCCTCAACATGTGGTGCTGTAAGTTCCCCTTCCCTGTGTTGTTTTTGGACCTGCATTATTTTGAATATGACATCTTACAAAAAATAATCGTATTTTTAAAACCTCCTACTGGAGTGCATTTGATTTGAGTTATTCAAAGCAAATGTGGAGGACTAAGAGCTCCTCTGAAAACCACCAGTGAGGGGAAAGCAGCGGTGTTTGCTCCCCTCCCCGGGGCACATTCTGTTCTGTGTGCAGGGGTGGGACTTTCTGGGACTCCTCAGAGAACTGTGCACATCCACCAGCAGAATTTAGCTCCCAGATATCCAGAAATATGTTTGGACACGGTGCAGCGGTACAACCCGCTGGTTCTAAATTTCTGGTAGGAGCCAGACCTTTAGCCAGGGGTGTTGGAACGAAGAGGCCTGGTGACCTCCCCTGTGAGGTCCCTACTCCAAGGATTTTGCAGCTCCTTCTGCACAAGAACAGCTGCTCAGCAGTGAGGGTACAGGATGGGCTCTGTTGGAGCAGCAAGGCTTGTGTTGACACATGACAAAACATCCATTGCCATCAAGGTAGCTCACGTCCCCTGATTTCAGAAGAATAATTCCAGATCACGTCTGCTGATAACCCAATATTTATATAAGAATTTCCTACCGGTTTAATGGCGAATTAGATTTTTTTTTTTTTGAGAAAAATCTGACTTACTAAATGCAGTGGATGGTGTTTTTTCACTGCTTTTTACCATCTTGAGCATCATGCCATGAAAACCTGAGCCTTCAGGTCCTCAGGAATTTCTTTCCCTCCTGTTACCTATTCCCACATGTGCAGGCATAGTCCTAAAGTTATCACATTGCATGTAATTGCTGTAGAGAGGATGATCATTTCAAGCAAGAGAATATGAAGCAGGATCAGATGAATTCCTTAATCAGGACAGAGCCCACCATCTTGTGTGTATCTATTACTTCAAACATAAAGGCAAGGCTCCACTCCCTTTATTAAATACAGATTATCAACAGAATTGTTTTGAAATTGCAATTTTCTTAAAATAATCACTGTACCACCCACAAATAATTTCTCCACCAACTAGAAAAGAATGATGAGCTTAAGTTCAGCCCAAAGTGTCTGAAACATAGTGCCTTAAACCTAGTGGTTCCAGTTAAAATCTTTTCTGGACACAGCTGTAAAACGCAACAGCCATGTGAGGGAGGATGAGAGGAGCAAGGGATGATAACATCTATGTAAAATCAGTTTTGCTACTGTTGCTGATGAAATGTCAAAGGAAAGAGGGTTAAGAACCAGTGAGCCCATGAAAACAAGCAATACAAAAATAGTAATTTTAACTTCATTGGTGCTTTTATAATGAAGGTAGTGAAACAACTTCTTGTGCATACTCGTAGAGTCTGGAGATTCTTATTTAGCTGTGTGAAGAAACGAAAGAGTGAAAAATGACTAAATCCTGAGCAGTGCACTCGATGCTTATCCACTGTAGAAAACTTCTGGTATAAAACAGTCTGAAAAGAATTTGCTGCCAACTAGCATTTCAAATTCCTCTGTATAGAGCAAAGGCAGTCATCTGGAGGTCTGACTAGTGGTAAGCCAGGGTGAAACTTCACCTCAGACATCCTGGAGAATCCATCTTTGGTTATTCTTGGATCGATATATACAGTGACAACAAGGTGATTAGGATTAAAAACTCAAAAAAGCTACTGTGGCCACTCAAATCTTTATAGAAAATCAGCCCCTTTTTTTTCTGAGATCCTCTGTGGTTCGTGATGGCAACACCAGCCCTGTGAAGATGGTTACATTAGCTGCTGGATGATCTCTGTTGTGCTCTGACTCAATCCTTTAAGGAGTTATAGGCTTTTGTGGTCCGGCTGTTGATGAAATCCGCCTTCTTAAAGTCAGCCTTTGGAATGGAAGAAACAGAACAATTCATTATCTTCAGTGCTGGTTCTGCAGGGGAAGGCTGGGTCCAGCTGCCTAAAAGCTGAGTAAGGAGCCATGGTAGGGGTCTAGGCAGAGTCCTGTGCAGTCACAGAGCCGGGACAGGCAGTGCTTGTTTAGTCCCAGAGAGATGAGAGGATAACTGGAACTGCTGAACTCTCTCTGCCCACTGCACCAGGAGCCTGCTCCTCTAGCTCAGCCCTACAGACTCCTGACTTCTGGGTGACTAATAGCTGAGATTAACCTAGCTGAGATCAACCCTGTCAGAACAAAGAACACAAGGCAATGCCAAAATGACTCAGGATTTTATCAATTGTTTGATCCAGTGATTTCTGTGATTTTCATTAGACTAAAGTTTCAAAAATGTCTAGGCATTAGATGGCTCTGAAGTTTTCAGTGCTATACCTGGTCTCTCTAGGGGACCTGATTTGCATAGGAAGAGCAAATAATCAGAATTTTTGAAAATCAAGTCTGACAAAGGTGTCTTACAGGCTTTGCTAAACTACCAGTAAATTAATAAAATTCACGCCATCAGAGATATTGCTGTATGGTAAAGTCAGGAATGCAGTTGTAAAAAGCCAGAGATAACAAACGCTAGTTAAGAATTTATATGACACAACAGCCTTATTCTTGAACACAGATTTCTGGTTTGTGGGGCAGTACCTGCTGATTGTGATGCAACACTCTTAAAAGTTTATGCTAAGAAACTTTTTTGGAGCAAATTTCAACCAAAAAAATCTACAAATAGAAGCAGCTGAATAACAAATGCTAGCAGCCTGCTTGAGAACTCGGAACAGTTTTAGGTTATAGGGAATTTGAAGTGACAAATTCTGAACAGCAAGCACACACGGATTGAAAACAGTTTGAAATGCAGGGTGAAGGCAGGTAGGTAGGTGGAAATTAACTCAGCTGTGTGTTGAAAAAGCAGGAACAGAGCTTCAAAAAAACCAAAGTGGTCTGTGGCAGACTCATGCTGGTCATTTTTTGTTTGATTTGACTATGGCAGCAAATGTTTGCCAACACCTCTCCCAGGCCCTAGGTTTTGTGTTTTTTATATGTGACACCTGGGCTACCAGGCCATGCAAACAAGGAGAACAACACTGCTCTGGTTTTAAAGCAGGAAGCTGCCTCGCCCTGCCTTTGTTTTTGCTGGCACTGTAGTTCCTCTGTGCCAGGCTGGTTCAGCCAGCGTGGATGGTCACCTACTCTGCATCACTTCTCACCACCTGACACTTCTGGCAGGCAGCAGCAACGCTTTTCATAAGCTTTGCCAGCAGATATAAAAACACAGAAGGAGAGAACATGAACACGGGCAAAAATTAAGGCCACGCATTGCTTACACAGGCTTATGTACAAGTAAGTAAGAAAACCAGATTCAGGGACCACTTGAATCCTATCATAGGTTGATTCTTAAATGTACAGGAGTGCTAAAGGGCCCAGAGGACAAATGAAAGGGTTCTAGGTCTGAAAGAACAGATTATTTTCCTTTGTGCTTACCTTTTTGTAAGCACTGTGGAGGTCGGTGTGTGACCACAGCGAGTAGAGGAGGACTGAAGCAGCCCTGCTGGCTTTGCTGAACATATTGCTGCCATTTTGCAAAAAAAGAATGATAAAGCATGTTTAAATTCCCACATCATAATCACAGTGCATGTACAAACTTCAGAAAACATAATCTCATGGCAATTGTTTTATCTCCCTTTACTCCCAAGTGCTGGTTTGCCACCTTTTAGGTACTGTAGCACGTTTCCTTATTACTGAAACAAATGAAACATGCCTCCCTGCTTCACTCATTCTTCAAATTTAGGGAGAAATCAAGTGCTCTGTAGCCTACATCTTAGAGCAGCTATCATAGTGTGCATTTTCAGCTGAGGAAAATACCCTCAGCACAACAAGCATTTGAAAGAATCTTTCCAGTAGGTAAAATCTCTGTTTAGTTAGACAGGATTTAACCTATCCAGGGCCTCATGAGGCCTCCTTTACTGAGATAGATTTCCTCTTTCATTTTGCAAAGAAAGAGCAAGGCAAAGGGAATAATTATTCATATTTGTAAAGCATTAATTATCTTCTGAGTAAATATTGACTGCATGTGCTTACATATTAAAGAACAATTAAATTTTTAATCTGTTCTCTAAAATGCCAATATATTATTTTTAAGTACAGATCTGTCAGTTCTATAAAATGTATCCCTGCACTTTATTGCTAAAGCTTATCAGGGCTGTGTCACGATGAACAGGAGACACATTTTGGGTACAGATGAAATCTGATGATCAGTCCCTACAAATATATCAGAATACAGATAATGTTGTTTAGTTATCTTCTGAGGAGTTGGTTAAAATGCTGGAACCTGGTGAATTTAGCTATGGATGGGAGAGATACAGAAATCTTTATTTCCCAATCAGTGCAATTCTATCCACATCACTCATTTGGGCTGTCCTGTACCTTGAGATGAAGCGTTTTTTTTCCTCCCCGAGTGGCAGAGGTTTAATTTCTTTTTTTTCCTGGGGAAAGAGTGAGCCTTGTGGAGCCTCTCACCTGTCATTCATGCTGATGGCAATGACCTTGGGCAGGCCGTGGGCGCTGAGGAGCAGCCGGGCGTTGTGCGAGCTGCTCTGGGTCAGGTTGAACAGGGTGTAGCAGATGGACGCTGTGGTTTCACAGGCAACGTCACACCCTGGCACACACTCGGGCAGGATGGACACCAAATCAGGCAGAACTTCTCTGGCTGCAAGAGAGACAAGCAATTCCATTAGTACCAGGTGCAGATTTACCTCATTCCTCGCATTGTCCCTCATCAGGGAGCTGTGTGCTCCCACCACACACTCACGGCTTCCTGCCTGCATTACATCCCCACCATTCAGGTTAAGCTGCACCCACACTGCACTGGACAGCCTGTAACTTGCCTCATGCACAACCCATTAATACCTCGTGTGCTGGACTGAACTCGCCAGGCACGTGCCAGCTGCAGGCTGCCACTTCCCTTTTAGAGATGTTTTATATTAAATTTATCTCCGTTTGATATGGAGGTTCACTTTGCTTGATAAACTTGGATAAATGTAGGTTCATTTTGCTAGATAAATTTAGACCCTTATAATCTACAAAACAGTGTGTTTCCTCTCAAATGTTTTCCTTTGGCCAGAGGGCTTTTTTTTTTTTTTTTTTTTTTTGGAATTTGACCTGAATTCACAGATGCTTTCAGGCAATCAAAAAGAACATCTTTTGACAGAGAAAAGACTCGCCTGAAATTCCCCCAGTCCTCTCTATTATGGAAAAGCAAGGAAACAACTGTGAATGTGCAAGATGAAGCATCTGCCCCCAAAGCTTTGTGCCATTCTGTCTTTCACACACTATCATAAATTATTTTTTCCTGATGAAACCCAAACTTCTTATCAGTTTAATTTCTTCTCTTTCAGAGGGATTCACCGCCTGTAATTGTTAACACCGTATGGATTATCCCTTGGAAGTCAGCCCAACAACATGTTATAGTATTTTCATTAACAGGGAATGTTCTCTAAGGATCAAACAAGGCCCAGGAGACTGTTCTCAGAATTCTGGAGGGTAATCTGCCCCACGAGCCACCTGTACACCTGGAATTTCCCCTTTCCCCCTTGGTGGGAACACAAAAAGGAGAACAAATTATATGAATACATTTTATCCTATCAGTAGGGAAAAGTCTTAAATACACAATAAATTGAAATGAGAATACTCAGAATAGAAATGGCTTTTATTTAGAAATGAGATAATTTAAAAAGAATGAACTATTTTTTCTATAGCATCTTAGCCTCCATTCTCAAAAAAACTTTGCAGGAAAACTGTGTGGGCTGCAAACTTCCTAAGCTTTGTGTATAATAAAAGAGAGCCTGATCTTTGCTAGAAGAATTAGAGATGTTTTGTGATTTCTTGCAAAGCATTATCCAGCTGTGGCAGCAGAGAGCTCAGCACTCACCTTCCTTTACCCTATTTTAAGCAAAACTCCCTCTCCAAATCTGTGTAGACTTTACTTCAATTATGTATTTTTGAAAGTAACACCAATGGAAGTATCTGAAGAGGAATACCCAATAGAGTGAAAACTTTGTTTAGGCGAAACTCTGCTTTTTTTGCGCGCTTATTTTTTTATCAAAGCAGGAAACTTTAATGTGAAGAGAGCAGAGCAGGCTGTGAGTGTTTGCTCACCAATGTCGTTCTGCAGGGAGGTGTTTCGAGACAGGTTCCTGAGCAGTGAGACCGCTGTCCTCTTCACGGCGGGGTGGCTGACGTGCAGCATGGCTCGGATGCCTGGGAGGCCGTTTGCCTTCTGAACAACAGTCCGGGCCACTGCCAACGGCATCTGCAGAAAGGCAGCTCTGGGTCACTGCCACGAATGCAGAGACTCACAAAAAGCCACACACAGCCAGTTCCCTGCACCAGTTTAGGCATATTTGAAATAGTTTTAAGCCAGAGCTACATATGAGTTGTAACAGGAAAGGAAGGTGATAGAAAAGAAGTTTCAAGCGCCCTTCCTGCCAGGTGCTCTTTGGCTAGTTCCTCAGACAGGTTTCTTCAACACAAAAGTGATCACTGGTTTCTTCAACACAAAAGTGATCTGCTGCTGTGTCAGAGCCCTCCTCTCTCCACAGGACTATCTTCCACAAACAACTTTTTTAGTGCTTTGAACATCCGCTCATCCCTCGCTGTGTATGAACCAGCAAACTCCACACGTGGAGATGTACACAGAGGGAAAAGAAGCAGACCCCATTTAATGCCAGGCAAGGAAAAGCTGAACTGCTGTCCTTGACTCTCCCTTCAATGTTCTTCATTCTCCTTCACCATGTCAGAGAGCCAGTTGCCTGTCAGTGGTTATTTGAGTGCAGCTGCACTGCAGCCCTGAACTCTATGCATTCACATAAAGAACTAAATGAAAAGGAAAAAAAGTTGACTTACTGGTCCAGTGCCAGCTGTGAGGTTCTGAAGAGCTCCCAGGGATGCTTCCTGGGTGTAGTTTCTGGTACTCTTTGCTATTAAGGAGAGGTATATCCTGATCAGTGTAGAATGCCAGAGCGATTCAACACCTTTGGGATTGCTCTTTTCCTCAGGTAGCGGGGTGTCCTGCTGCTTCTAAACATGCGAGCAGATCAAACCTTCAGAAACAGTGACCTCCATAGCTTAAAGCCTCACAAGCTCAGCTAGCTGTTCTGTAACTCTCTATGACCAGGTTATTTGGAGACTGCCAAGTTCTGAGATCAAATAACAATGTGCAAAATTTCAGTATTTAATGATAGTGGCCAGTCCATCCAGTGGAGTATTCCTCAACTAATAAAACATTTGCTGTGTCTTTGTCACCAGCAGCAGCTGAACGAGAGAACTGGTGTCAAGAATGACTATCAATAAATTTGCATTTCTGGGGCAAGGAAGTGTCACCCTACCAGATACATCAATAACAGACTGTTAATTAGATCACAGCCTTATTCTCCCGAGGTTGCTACAAGTTATTAACCAAATGAGATGTAACCAATCATGTACATTACCTCTTTTACTTTTCTGCTCCGTGTTCCAAAACAGCCTGGTGTTTTATCATTGTCAGAAATATTTCTTCTTTGCATATATATGCTCTGGGCATAGCTCTCAGGAAGCTCTATCTCTAGCTGGTAGGAAAGATTGTGAAGAATGCACACACAGTTCTCTGTGGCCTAAAATAACAGAAGAATAGAAATTGAAAGCTTTTGCATGTGTTGAAGGGACACGTATAGACACGGGAAGAGATTTCATTTTTGGATCTTCAGTAAGTGACTGCAGAGTTTCTAATGCCTCACAGAAGAGCCAGGCTTCATGCCAGTGACCCACCAGACTGCCTTTGCACTGATAAATGAAACATGCCCTGGGATGTTCCTGAGCAGAGAGGCCAGCTGGCACACGGGGTGCGTGCCTGTTGGAAACTGTCCTGGGACATTGTAATTCCTGCACTGGGCCTGGGCATTGTTTGGGTGAGTGCTGCTTGACACAGGCTAGAAGTGTGCCAAGAAATGTTTAAGAGCTTAGGAGTAAAGATGATCATGTACACACCTCACCAGAACACCAGCAAAAGAAAAGCTTTTTATTTTCCCCAAGGAGGAAGCATTTTTCTGTGGTGGAATTCTTCTCAAAAGAAGACATTCCTTCCTGAACGTGGCTATGGTCAGGTCTACAAATTTCTGAGTGATGAGTCTAGTGGCAAATAGCTTTATTACCAGTTCCTCCTTTTCTGAAAGCCAAAGAGGAATGAGAGTGGTTCTAAGACAAAAGGCAGCATGGAGCTACTGGCACACGTGTGATGTGCTGGATTCTCCCTGAAGCTAATGGCACAGGATACAGGGAGATGGGGAAGCTCAAGTAACTAATCCTAGAATAGAGCTATAAATGTGCAGTAATTACCACTGCACAGCACAAGTTATTGCAGGCCCACCAGAAGTGCCTCACAGGAGGCTGCAGCTAACGTAAGTGACAGCTGCTCTTCTCACCCAACTTCACCCAGCTGAAAGACAAGCCTCTGCTCCAAGAGTCTGTGTTCAGGGTTCACCTGCACTCAGTGGTGGGAGGAAGAGTGACAGAAACTGGCATCTGGAGGTGTCTACGTCCTTGTTGTTACTGGCTTAGGCAGCAAGGAAAAAAGTACACTTTTTTTTTTTTCCCCTAAAAAAAAAAACCCTAGGAAAATTAGTTTTGTTCTAAATGATGCCAGTTGCTTAATCACACTGCCACCCAAAGGGATTTACGTTCTTTATTTCCTGAGGGATATGTAGCATTAAATACATAGGAGAGTAACCAGATTCATTTTTTAAGCTTCTAGCTAGCTAGAATCCTGAGACAACCAAAAAGGCAACATCTGACTTGTTTGTGTGTCAGCATTTCTGAAAGCTGTGATTTTATCTCACTTTTTTTTTAAAAAAAAGGCAGAAGCTTCTACATTTCTCTCTAGTGATTCTGAAAATGTTTTCCCAGTGCTAAATTATACTAATATTTTAGACTGCAGGATAAAAATACTTCAGAAAGCTTCTTACTGGAGTTCCACCTTTGGTGGCAGTTTTAAAAGCCCTGGAAATAAGTTTTGCAATTACATCACAGCTGTTTCTGAACATTTGTTTCCAAACAACAACAGAAAAATGTTCACTTGGCAATTTCCCCCAGGAAAACACTTCATCTCAAAGAGTACCTTGTCATTGGGCTCATGGTCTGCAATAGCTCCTTGGATATAATACACAAGAGAATCAATCAAGCCCTCACATTCTCTCATCTTCTTCCTTCCTTCTGGGCCAGCAGAGCTCATGTTTCTGTGCAGGAAAGAATATGTTGGGGAGAAAAGATTTAGTCAGAGGTATTTTCTTGTGCTCCTCTGATAAACTTTTCCATCTAAATCTTAAAGATAATAAAGTTCAGGTTGGCTGCTTCTTTTCTTCAGAGGTGTAAGACAATCTGAGCCTCTTCTAGATTAAACTTTCACTCCCAGACAAAACCAAATACTCCAGGGAAAAAAAACCACTTGTGTTTCTATGGTTAAGGTAAGATCTGACTGAAATTTTCATCTCAAAGTTGAGTTAATCCTTTTCAAGCAGTTTAAAAAAAACCAAACCCTTGGATTTTTTTTTTTTTCACTGTTCCGTTTTCAGTTATAATTTTAATATTTAGGATGGTGGAAATATCAGAGGAGAGATACCTGTAAAAACTTCCATGCACGCAGATGTCCTTTGAAATTAATTTACTTATGCTGAGCTGGTCCTTGATCCAAGATGACCCATCAAAAGTCCCATGATCTGAGAGTTTTAGCAGCACCTCTACATTCACATGCAAGGACCCCCTCTTTGCCTGGCTTTCAAGTAATGCTTGCTGTGCTTTGTAGTAAACCAAGTACAACTTACAAATGCATTGCAAAACTGATTTAAAACCTCTTGAAAAACCAAACACACACTTGCTGCTTGAAGCTGCTTGGCTCTAAACAAGCCACTGATTTCCACGGAAGAAACAACACGATTTTGGGGTGTAATTATTTTTACAACTCAACAAGGTCTGAATTAAGGAATACTGGAATTATAATCCAGGCCTTATTTTTTTTTACTCCTGCAGCTCTGCTGGACACAGTATTGCACATTCAAGCTTCTTTGTTTACAATAACATTAAATATTACCCAATCTTAGCATCCGTCAAAGCACAGAGGGACATGTTCCTTTAGATAGTTTCAGGTTGCTTATTTTGCATGCTCACTAAAAATTACAATGTTTACAATTTTATTAATGACAAAGCCAGTAAGGTTTAAACTTTCTGGTGGCTTATGACTGTAAAATGAATGTAGCATTTTATACACTGTCATTTCACTTCCACTATTTTTTTTTCCTTTGGGAAGTACATATTCAGGTTAAATATTAGGCACTGTAATTACAATTTTACTTTAGGTCATGATGTTAACAATGTCTCTATTTATGGGTTCATTTACTCTCTCATGGAATTACATATCACAGACTCAATATTCAGATCCCACAGCATGGCCTACTATAGAAATCCCTTTGGAATTTGATTTTACCTATATATGTCACATTCAAGGCATGCCATCTTTTCCTGTGTTTATGCTGACAGAAGTGCACACATTACAGCCCTCCTGCTGCATAGCAAAAATAGTTTCTGCGGCACACAGACTAAAAATACTGTCTAAGATAAGTGTGGAATTTCCCTCACCAAAGACACTTCAGATGATGCAGTGTTTTGTTTTGTCCCAGTACATATTCTAAAATCCCCTCAAGTTTTTACAATTGATCCTGCTGAATGCTTGTGCAAGGAGAGGCTGCGCCCTGGCCTTGCTGTCTGCATGTAGAGAGTAGAGGAAAGAGCTTTTACAGCTCAGGAGGCGGAGAAGAAGGGCACTGAATCAGGGGCACTGTCCTGTTCTGCAAGGGAAATTAATTACTGGGCTCTGTTTGATTAAGAAGTTGATGGTCATCCAGAGACAGATACCAGCATGTGTCCATGGGCACACCTGTACACACATGGTTTCTCCTTTCCCCACCCTTCCCTGTTTCCTCAGCCTGACAACATGGACTGGGAAGGGAAGAGCTCCTGCTTTCCCACTCATTCAAACACTGCTGTACCCACCTTCCTCAAAACAGGGTCAGAGAAGAGCATTTCAGGCAAAACCTCAGCTAACAGCTTAAATTTGTCTGCTGATTGAAGCTTGAGAAATTCCAGGAGATAAAAATATTATTGGATTGGTAAAAAAAAAAAATAAAATTCTGAGAAGTGTGACCGAAATGTAAATGTAAATACATATTTTTTTAAATCAATGGAGACGTTTTGCTTAGAGAATTTCACAACTGACTTCATCTTGGCTTCCTGAGATTTGAGGTTCCTGACAACTGAAATGCCAGCCTCTGAGCTCACCAGTTGGATGTTACTGTAGTGGAGTTCCAGGAGGCCCTGGAATACTCAGTGCTTGCAACGTGAGGAGAGCGCAGCCTTAGGCAGATTGCTGCTTGTGGGTACTCTCTCCTCTAAATGACCCAGAACTTACAATTTGGCAGCACCCACCCATGAAAACTCCCTGACTTCTGGCACACTTAGCTGTGCTAATGCTGGTGACATGCTCAAACTGTGCTGTTTGCTGACGGGGATGCACCCTATCTGTCTACACACCTCATCTGTCTCATCTTGCATTTGCTGCTTCTGTCCCCTCCTGCACACATGCATGGTGCAACTACCCCTGTAATCAAAATAGCTCTTTGCCCACGGTCCTGTGCCATGTGGCAAGGATCAGCTCATTTCCTGCTGGGAAATATTATTTTGATCCAGAGTTGTGAGGCAAATACAAAGAAATTTGACACAGTAAAATCAAGCGGGCCTTTGGAAGAATGATGATAATAAATGTTCAATTAGCTGATAAATGGCACCAAATGAAAGGGATACTCCCTCTAAGCCAACACTGAGTCATACACTGACTGTTGGAAAAGGTTCTTGAACTGCCATGAGTGGCCCACATAACTGATAAGAAGAAGGATTTTGCTCCTGGGACTCATTCTGCTTAAACTAGTAATGTGAATTTAATTCAATTACCAGACAACATTTTGGGAAATTCTATTCCCTTCATGCCTTGCACAGTTCAAACATTCTCCAAGGAGGGAAAGGTGTCTGGGATCTACTTAGTAACTAGATGTGCCAGGTTTCAAGCTGCTTGTTGGAAGTAGTAAAATTCCTTTCAGGATTTGGGGGAGCAGATAAACTGGAGAGGAGGCAAGAGGAGATAAGAATGAATGGAAATAAACTTAAAGGAATGGCAATGCTATGCAAGAGGCCTTGGTTCAAAGACTTATTATCATCAGTCATTTGTTTTACATTCTCTCTTAGAAGCTGCCATTATGCGTCCAAGGTTTTCCAACACATGGGGAGAGCTTTGGCTTCACTTCTCTCCAGAGTAAATGGCAGCAGATGTTTATGCAGCCTCCTGGGCTGAAGTGCAATGATACAATTTCCTCCAAATGCAGCTTTCCCCTGTCCTTGTGGGTCACTGCGTAATTCACAAGAAGCTCAGACAGGAGCTGGGACAGACTGCGAAAAATAGTAATGAAAAAGGAAGGATGACTTTTATTTTACTGGGTGAGCAGAGGGAGGTTAGCTGACTATCCTAGAAATACCTGTATCTATAGGTGACTGTATCTAGAAATAGCTGTCTAGAAAGTTTTGAAAAACTAGAATACATAGGGGCACAGGGGGCTTCAGTTACAGGGCAGTTAAAAAGGAAGGCTCTGTAGTGAAGTACAGCAGCTTCGGCACTTAAATTAAATGTTTTGCAGGAGAAAATGTGATAACTGTGTATAGATCTGGGGAAGTTCAGCAAATGGAACCAGTTTGTTATCAGCTTTCAAGGTGTGATACAAACAGCCTTCCTGTCAGAGGAAAAGTCATGCCAGAGGTTCACTTATGTATATAAATAATATTCAAACCCATGCATTGTACATGCTGCTGGGATCTTATCCCTTCAGACTCAGAGGAGTAGGGGGAAATTGTTCGAAGATTTTTATCCTCTGTATTGGAACTGGAAGTAAAAGTTTTATGTGTAGGACTTTCAGGCCAAGAAGAAGTGACTTTACCTTTAAAATCCTACAGGACTTGTCTACAAATGCCTGTAACACTCCCCTAGATAGTTTAATACACCAGTTTTACTTGTTCAGCTTATTGTCAGGCAACCAGTGAAGTCTGTTGATTTGGCTTACTCTGTGGGTCCAGGCAGAGTGCTTTTTATCATATTTCACAGATAAACAACACTATTACTAATTTTAACTGCCAATGCAGTATTCCGTGGTGTACACAGCTTCTTTTTATTACATAAAGTTTGTGACCTGTGGTTTCTCTAAAGCTTTGCTTCTCACAGGGTTTTAAGACAAAATACAGACCCAGAGAATGGGATTAACAAATCCTTTAATGTCAGACTTATCAGTGACTGCATACACTGACACAGGCGCCAAGGTTCAGGACCCCACAATACTTCTGGCAGTAAATGGGGACTGGTCTGGTCCAAGCACTCACTCCAGTGCTTGGAAGTACCTGCAATATTATCTGCTAGATGTGGATTCACTTCTCCTGCTGCTGTTTTCTCAAAGAGGATGAAGGAAACTTCAATTTATAATCTGGTAATGGTGTGCTGCAGTGCACATGCCCCCACCAAATGCTTGTGTTGGGTTTGGGCTGTGCTTGTCCCTTTCAGTCAACAGCTGTATGGAAAATTTTGAAAAAATTTGAAAAAAATCAGAAGAAGTTCTGGCATTCTTCTGTTACTAAGTACAGTACTATGCAAAATGTATTGCACTTCAAAGTACTATTTTTACCCTCTAATAGAAGCTGCAGGCTATAGACTTTATCAACATGCCCAACAAAAATGTTAGCATCACAAAAGGGAAGACTAATTACAGATTTATATTCTGGCAAATAAGCAGACTCTTTAAACATATTCACAAGTAACATTATTCCCTCAGTGCACACTTTTGTTACTTTGTGGTGTGCTTTTTATTGATGGAGATTTTATGTTATTAATACATGAGGAAGGAATACCTCTAGTGACCTAAGCTGGGAGGTGAGTCAATTTCCAGAGAAGAGATACAAACTGATTAATCTTAAAAATCTCAGCTATTTAGCCTGTACAAATAGGTAAGCCTCATTAAAAACTATTCTGTGCTAGAAAGTATGTGGCAATCCTGCAGATCATCTTTACCTGGGAATTTGCAAGCCCTTCTTTCTCTATTTCTAATTTTCAGTGTCAAAACTCTTAAAAATGGGAAGGACTAGAAGGTAGACATCATATTTTTAAAACAGGTAATGTATCCTTAAGCACCTACATAAGGGCAATTTTAGAGATTTTTAATTAAGGCTGGAGAGCTCACAGGGACTCTGGAGCAGCCCCAAGCACTGACTTTGTGTCCAGAGTAAGGTTAACCCAGGAATCTATTTTCATTTGAAAGAACTCAGGTAATGTTATACCTTATTTGTCACATAACAAATTGTGAAACAAGCTCAGGAAGAGGAACACCAAGCTAAACTTGAGAATGATCTGAGCCCCCCTTGGCTGCCTCATAGGGAAGAGACAGCTCCAGAGTCCAAGCACCAAGAAAGGAGCACCAGACTGGTTTCTGCACAAATGCAGCTTGGGCTAATTAATATGAAGAAAAGACAACCTCCTTCACTTCCTAGACAACAGCACTTAAGCATTAGCTTAGAGAGGTTTTATTATGGGTGGTTAATGTTTCTTTGTGTATGTTTTTGAGTCATGAGAGTAAACAAGTTAATTACTACTTAGAGATGAAGTTAATTAGTAGTTAGTAGGCTGACAGGAGTTCCTGCAGAAAAAGGTGTATTATTGTTGAGTATTTTAGCTTACAATTAATTTGTCTTCTAAAACCACACGAGTCAGATACAGAGCTGTTTGCACAGGAAAAATCAATGCTATACACATACAACTACTCTGCCACAGGACATGTCAGCAGAGCAGGCAAAACAAGCAGCTTTCCAGCCTCCAAATCCCAAACTTAATTCCTTGTACTCGACTGGAAGGGGTTTAAACCTCAGGTCATGCCTTTGCAGTCACACATTACTGCTTAGTCAGTTCAAACGATGTCCTTTTGTGCATTTTTAAATGTGTAAACTTACTTAATCTGCAATGACTTTGAACTCACACAGGGCCCCCATTTTATAGACTGTTAAAAGTGCTTTTATTGGAGATGTGATTTTTATACTTCAGCCATTTAGGGGTGTGCTCACTGAGGCCTTTGGTGTTTGTCTGTAGTAACTGCTACTGTGTCCGAGAGTCTATTAGCAGATTGCAATACTAAATAAACAACTATAAATCTATTCCTCCTCCTCCTCCTCCAGGCTGCAACTTGCTTGAACTCGTACAAAAGGCTGGACAGAGCTTACTCTGGTATAAAAAATGCCTTTTCCCTAATTTAAACTGAATCATTTTCTAATCAGTTTAGGCAGAGATTATATGTTCAAACAAGCATCTTTGGTAGCAGCTGGAAAGAGAACACTTCTATGTGCTTGTAGGTACCATGCCCCCTTTCTAAGTTATCTATTTGTGATTGTGGCTCTGTGTATTTAACCAAAAATAATTGTGCAGACCTGTTTTGTCATCACTATTGCTTTGGGTAGTTGTCGACAGAGTGCTCACCTCAGGCATCCTGTAGCATTGTAGAAGATATCAGGGTCAGGTAGAACACTTGATTTTGGGTAATCTCTGTCTGGCCAGCCTGAGTAGGGGATGAGGACAGCTTCAGTCAGCGTCTGCAGGGCTTCTCTAACCAACAGGTGCTTCAGCTGGTCATTGGAGGACAGATTCCACAACAAACCTGCAATATCCACAATAAAATCAGAGAGGGAAAAGGACTCCTCTGCACTTTGAAGACCTGATCTCATACCCCCTGATGTTAATGAGTGAAGAGCCTGCCTGGCACTGATAATCTGAAGGGTAGCAGAAGGGACTGGTAAGTGTTCACCAGCTCTGATCCAGGGACATGGAAACAGGGCAAAAAGGGGGCACAGTTATCCGTATGTGAATGAAGTAAAACCTCTACATGGTCAGTCTAATGTCCAGCCAAGAAGTGCAGTTTTCCACAGCTCTGCATTGCCCATCTGCCACCATCACCTCTGTTACCAAAGCAGCACAAGCTAAGGGTAAACAAACTCACAAAAGGGATAGATGGGAGGTGCAGAGAGTTTACATAAAATCTGCTGGAAGACAGGAGATGCCCATTACCAAGTTTCTCTAACATTTGACAGTAAAATTTCTCATAACAGGGAAAGCTGTTAACACTGTTTGGCTGCTACCGTCCAGACATTAGTCACTAAACAAATCATTAAGTAATGCTAAAAACCTTGTCTATTCACAATCTCCAAAGCAAAGTTCAAATATAATCCTGAAGAACTTATCAGGTTCCATTAGGTTCTATTCCAACAGACAACAATTCTTTTTAAAGTATTCTTCCCTTGGAAAATAACACGTATTTCTGCTTTTGACTACAAAGACATTCGTTGTCCCTCCAGCCTGCTGCTCTAAGTTTCACAGACCTCCTCCTCCACACACTGGCAGAGTATTAGTGAATGTTCCTTTCATCAGCTCGCAACAACAACAACAAAAACGTTTCTTTTGTATCTCCTTGCACTTTGAATTTCATTTCAGGTATTGTGAGCAATAGTAAAATCAAAACAGAAGCCAGCCAGAGGCAGCCCATTCCTTCTTCTGGGATCAGCTCCTCAGCCTCTGAATCAGGGGATAAAAGGGAGAATGCACTTTTCTGAAGGATAGGTAAGGCTTACAGGAAATCAGACAAGCAGTCCAAAGGGCACTGGTAAGCAAAGCAGGTTAAGACAGAAGGGCACAAATGCAAGGAATGGCACAAGGACAGAATATACTTTTAAAAAGAACAAATACATTTGGAATTACAGGCAGATACTTAAGAGTTGTCAGAAGAGAATCTGAGATATTGCTCTCACTGTAAATTTTCCAACAAAAACCCTACCTTTACCCACAGGCACTGTCTCTCTGTGCTCAGGATTCTCTCAGTGGTATTCTGGGTGTGGATGAATTTGTGCACATTAGAAAATGTCTTTAGGAGTGGATTGTTTCCTTGCACCTATGCTATATTCTTAGGAGCATAGTTTTCCCTTAGATGGTTTTTTGGAAAAATGGGTGGGGTCTGCTTTTAAATTTACATTTCTTTTAATGACAGCTCTGCTTGTGCTGTAATCTTCCCTGCAGGAAAAATTTTCTTTCATTTCTTATATTCATGCTGCATGATAACAAGATCAGGAGGTTAGCTACTCTCTGGAGGCTCACCTGGCTTACCTACAAAAGCTAAAATCTTTTGGTTCTTTCATGCCACAGCCATTTTACTTTCTGTTCCTCAGTATGCTCTCCAAATACTATAAAACTCCAATCCTGTCTTAGGTCCCGCTCTGTCTCCAAATGACATCCGCTCCTACAATTTAGGAGAAACCTCACTCCTTTCCTAAGAGATTTCAAAGTAGCTTGTGTGCCAAAGAAAGGACAAAGCCTCTGTTTACTTTATCTCTATCAATCCTTTTGTGAAGCTAGCAAATTCAGTCAAATTCAGCGACCTTGGGCAGGTCTGATTCCCCTTGTGAAGAGATCATTTGAGCACAGAAATTGCAGAGAAGCTCTTTTCTGCACGGGGGCATTAGGCAGACTGGTCCACAGCACCTTTCAAATCCCTGTCATCAGCACAAAGCTGCTCTGCTGGGGGCAGTGGTTTGGTGTTTTTTGTGTGCTCACAGCCTGTGAGGCAGTCACAGTACGTGCTGTAATCAGCATTTATCTCACACACCCTGGCTGCTCTCAGCCTTTTCACAGCCCAATACAAGGCACAGTGTGTGACTGGGCTCAGTCTCTATTCCTAAGCCTGGGTCTTGAAGAAAATACAGGCCATCGAAGTATTCTTTGAGAACATTTGGTAAAATATGGATTAATGTTAGGCAAGTGCTCGTCTGTATTAACACTGATGGTCCTAATAAACCAGTGACCTTTAAAGATAAGCTTCTAAGGCTGAGATTTACTTATGTGCACAAGTACTATACTTCTGACAGGTAATGAAGTACAGTATCAGAAAACTTCTGTCTCAGAGTTTTAACTTCCTTCTCTCCTAAAACTTCCTTATCTTCATATACTTTTGTCAGATGGTACCATGCTTCCCACACAGCAGTAGAAACAAAAAACTTCCCTCTGCTGAGACATATTAATTAATTAATTAATTAATTAATACTGCATGCTTTCAATCCTTGGCCAGGAGTCTTTCACTAGAGTTCATTGAGGTATTATCAGGTACAAAGATGATTTTACTTAACTCTTATGGGGAAAGGCATTTAGCTGAATATGATGCCATGCATTTGGAAGTTCCTAATTTGCAGTCAAAGTAGGCAAGTAATATGTATGATCTGGAAAGACAAATGGACTTCTGGTGCTGACCAAAAGTGTAAGACCAAATATGTGGTCTAAGACCAAATCTTTCACATTAACCTTTTCCTAGAAGTGCACACTTCAGAGAGATTGCATGCATGGATATGATATTCCACTAGTCCTGTATGAAGTCAAAGGCAATGCAAGAGGTGAAATCCATTCATCCAGACTGCCCTTTGCTCTTGTAGGCTCCTTGCAGCTTGCTAGGGAGCTGGAAGAATTGTTCAAGTGATGGCAAAAAGCACTGCCCTAGTGGCATTTTCACTAAGGTACCCAGTGCATTTCCTCCTGCACGTTTGATCTTGAACAAAGCAAGAAACACTTCTCTCTTGGTGTATTTTTAAAGCTATCCTTTGCAACTGACAGGCATGAAAGCACATCATAATATTTTGCTTTACACTAAGCTACATCACCCTGCTTGGCATAAATATTTTTTTGGTGTCTCTTTTTGTTTTGTGAGTAAATATTCACGTTCAGTGACAGCAGTAATTGCTGAAAGAAGATATCTCTTTATCCATTTCTACACTGGTGAAGGGGAAGACAGTAATATTCACAATATATATGTGAGTTATCAGGCACAGTCAACATTTTTGTCAGAAATTATGAAACTGCTTGCAGGGAAGGAGCACTGGCTTTCTGGCCACTTTACCATCATTTTCACTGCTTCCCTCACTGGTCTGTAACAGCACTGAGAGTTAAAGCACTATACAGCAAATTACTGTGTGACCCAATTCTGCAACTGGTGAGTGTGAAAAACTTGAAAACATTTTAATGTTGCAGAGCTGCAGAACTGAGCTAAAATAAGAGTGAACAATACAAAGCTTTGTTCTCCAACTTAGAGAGCAGAGTATTTCAAATACTTTAAAGAATGCAGAATTACAGAAGGTCTCAACATGTTTTTGCTTCAGGACAGGGCTGCTTGACAACTTCAGTATCTTTTCACGCACGGTTCTCTTAATAGATTTTGTTCCTGGTGTCTTTAAAGATCACTGGAAATAAATCCCCATTCACTTATTCATGTTTTCCATTTATAAAATATAAGCCTGCTCTTCCTTTGCATGCTAATTAGAAAGAATGTGGGTCACAAGCACTGGAATTCCAAGAGACACACTATGAACACACAGGACTGCAGGGATGAAGTAGGAATCTGGGGCAGTGGAGTTTGTGGGGAATGGAACAACCACTTTCTGTCCATGGCACATGACACTTCTGGGTGACAGCCTTCAACAAGGAACTTCCAGTAGGCGCTGTCAGCACAGAACCAAAAAATGAAGGCTGAGCTGCTGTGTAAGCAGCAGGAATTAATTACAGTCCCAGGCACCCCCAGGGAGCCTGACTTTCTTTTCTGGAATATCAAGGATTTAAAGCTTCTTGCAAGCAGACTCACTCAATTTCTGAAGAAGCTTTAAGAGGGGAAGTTCCAGTTCCTAATCTCTTGTTATTGACTGAAAGAATGATCTTGAGTAAGGACCTTGGAATTTTACCCTACGGGAATTGCTTAGAGTAGGTGACAGTGTCTTTGTATTTAGTCACTAAACACGGGCTTAAGTAAACAATCATGTACCTCTCCCTGAAAGCTTTTGCACTGCTTCATGCTTGACTCCAGAGAAAATACTACCTGTGATTTGCTTCTTGGTCTCTATATCCCTGGTGTGCCGGAGCAGGCGGAGCAGGAGTGGGATCCCTCTCTGCTCTGACACCTCCAGCTTGTTGTCATTGTCCTCAAACACCAAGTTTCTCAGAGCACCACACGCTGCCCTCTGAACGTCCTCATTCTGAACCTCAAGGAGCTGTAGAAGTCTGGGGATACCACCAAGTGAGAAAACCTGTGAGGAGAACAAAATACAGCAGAGAATAGTCAGATGCTGTAAATGACAAACTCCACTCTCCCCATGCCCCAGCAAATGTTCCAATAGTTATAGCGACTCCTTTCATTTGCTCCTGTTTGAGAGAACTTGAAGCACAGATCATTAATCATTTGGACATGACTATTAACTTCTGGGCTTTTGTATGACTAATACTTAAAACCCACAACTAGGAGAGGCAACATGTTTTCATAATTAATATCAGAGAACGATACTAAATCTCTTCCAGCTTTGCCGCAGATTTGTACTCTCTGACAAGACATTTAATCACTCTGCTTTTTAGCTTCCGTGTTGGTGAAATGAGTATTTGAGATTTAATTCTGGAACAGTTATGAACAGGTTTTTACTTTTCCTCAGCAACCAGCCTGATGAAAAGACTGTGTTCTTCCCAATGCAGATATTGAAAGTGTATTAAAAAACAATACATTATACTTAATACTTCTTAACTGTGCCACACAGAAGAAAAACAGTAAAAGTAAGCACCAAAATGTAGAGCATTAACCACTGTTAGCCAGCTATCTACTGAACTACCCACATTTAGCAAAGACTACTTTTCAGTGTTTAAATCTTCAGAAAACAAGGTTTTGGCCCCAAACGAATGAAGGATTTAAAAGATGTTACTTAACAGTAGCTGTATGGAAACAAATAGTTTGTTGTGGTGAATGAGGAATCCCATACAAACTGTGATATGCCACAAGCAGGCCTGAGCCGACTCGGGAATGAATCGACTATGGGAAGTACCTTACCTTAACGTACGATTGCCAACCCTCTCCTCCAGCATCTCAAAATGCCATATGGTTTTTTGGACAAACTCACCCTTGTGCAGAATCAACAGCACATGAAAGACTCAGAAATCTGATACAAGTGTCTTAAATAGTCCAGAGTTTGACGATAGAAAGGATTCAATACAACCGGCAGGTGTTGGCAACACGAAGAAATGGAATGTAACAAAGCCTTTTGTGCTGCAGGGAGTAAACTACACAGCCTGGCAGCCTCTCCTCTCATCCACCTGTACAAAAGGCACAGTTTCTTTGTCCTGCTCTGCTGACCTGATTCCCCCTGCAATCACCTAAATGCCAGCAGAATGGAATACAGGAATACATCCTGTGAGGGCAGTGGTACACAGAGCACGCTGCAGGCACATCAACCTGTTTTATTGCACTAGATCGGCCCTTTTGACACCAATACTGTAGTTGTTCGGGTTTTTTAAATATATTTATGCAGACCTTCTCTCAGTGATTTTAAGGCATTTATAGCTCTTGTAAAAGGACTGCTATTTCAACCTAATTTGCAGAGAATTTAGAACAATTATTGACTGGTTCTTCTAAATTTCCATTAGCAGACAAAATTCACCAGAATACTGAGAAGTTCACAGAAACAGATAAACCACTAGACCCACAAACTCTCAAATATCAGGGAACAATAGACAAAGAATGCAGGCTGAAAGGCTGAAAAGGGGACACAAGAACATGCCAACGTGAACAAGTCTGACGGGTGCCAAACAGAGAAGCTCATTACAGGATATGTGGGATAGACAGGAATATAGGAAGCAGCTTCAGGCTGACTTCTCCAATCTGAACACTACTCAGCCACTTATTTTCCTGGGAAGATGCCTGAGAGAGGTCTGCATAATAACCCACTTTCAAACATTCAATTCTGAAGCTCTGTCCTCAGTTTGAAGTTAAAGTTGCCACCTGTACTGTTATTTTCTCCCAGAACTGACTCTGGCATAGCCCAAAGCAAGTCAAAAGGATGGAGAGATGTTTGGCTGTCACTGAACTGGACTGCATGCACATGATTATGGAGGTAAGGCTGGGATTACTGAGCATACAACAAACCAAAGCAGGTGTAATAATGTTTTTTTAATGGTTAGAGTAAATTATCTCCTTACATTTTAATGTACAGAATCATTCAGCAGGAGGGACATATTTATGTTCAGTAGTGACATTTAAAGAAAAGGAAGAAGAGAATATTTTTGATGTGCCCTTTAGAAAAACTTGTAAGAGACTTAACAAGTTTCTTGTAAGAGACTTGAGAATTTGGTTAATCTAAGCAATGTACTAATACATGTGCACAGTTCCAGTGAGCCCTTAACATTTTTGCTAACCCATGTACTTTTCTAACACATTTGTGCAGTCTTAACAAACCCTCAACCTTGGATAAATTTACACTGTATTCAGAATTTTCTTTTTTTGGGATATTTCTGCATGCAAGTCAAAAATGAGACAGGAGCAACTACATTGACAAAAAGTTCAGACTCCATGATTTATAAAGGCTGAAAGAATTAAATTTGTTCAGCCTGAAAAAGAACAAACTGAGTGGGAATACACTGAGTGGGTTCAAAAGCATCTGCAGCAAAACACAAAAATGCACTTGAAGGAAAATATCTAACATCAGTATCCTGTAAGGTTACTTGGACTGCCTTCTTTCTTTTCATGCTGGCACACGTTGCCAAAAAGTATACAATCTTATTTTCTCTACCTGATTTTAACTGGCAAAAAAGCAATTACTTACTTTTCTCCTGGCATCTGCTTTTTGGAAGCACTCATGCTGTATGAAAGTCACTGCAGCAAGGATCCTGGGGGTGGACTGGGTATTTTCACTCTTCAGTATGTTCACTGCACGCTCCAGGGTCATCTCCACTTCTGGGCTCCTTAAAAGTACAGACAGAAATCTAGTGAAGAAAGACTGCAGAAAAATTATCAGTCTTGTAAAACTAGGGGTTTTGTGTTTTCCATGTAACTCTAGCTTTTCTTAAGAGATTTTTTTGCCTTTCCAGTAGCAGAAAATATCATAATGGCTTCAAGAGATACTGATATTCAGGGGAAAGAGAAAGTCATAAATAGAAGTGTAGCTCTGGAGAAAGCAAGTCATGCTTTGAGTTATAATAACAAAATGGAAATATCAGTGGCTGTTTCTATCCAGTGGATGAATGAAGAATGTGAAAGAAAGGATGAAGAAATGGATGAGGATCAAAAGAAGGCCATACCACGTCAGAGTGATTATTACTGGCCATGAAAATACCTTGATGTTTTCCTCAATAGTGTGATGACTGTTTTTTTATATTTGTCCTGATGCCTTTCATCAGTGTCTTAGTTCCCAGTCTACATCTATGCAGGATTCAGAACCTCTTTTTTTCAAAAAAGGAAGTTGTTCTTGTTTGAAATAGATGGGCAAAGCCCTTTTTCAGGTGGGAAAAAATAAGAATGCCACTCATTAAACTGAGTATGTAGAGATCCTGTGGTAGGGAGTCTATGTAGGGAGTATCAAAAATATGTGCCACCACTTCCAACTTCCAGCATGTCTGCTTAAATGACGATTGTGTTAGACAACCATGTAAAAAAATGGAGAGAGAGGTCACCAAACACATTTGTTTCCGCAGTAAATGGAAAATAAAAAAAATTAATGGCACAATCAGGTGCATTTGATCTGGGACAGGTGGTTATGCTCCCCAGACTTTTTATTTACTTTTGGTTTCAAATATGCTGCAGCCAGATGAAAAAATGGGGAGAGAAAAGTTGACAAGAATGTGAGCATTCTATTTTTTTTTTTTTATCCAGATAGTTTTGTAGTAGCAGATGTGCCACAGGCCAGAAAGGGATGAGTGGGCAGTCTGTGGCCCCCTGTGAAACAAGCAGTAATTGGCTTAATAATTTAATAACTCCCTACTTAATAGCTTAATAACTCCCTACTGCAGAGCTACCAGAATCAGAATGATTTACTTGTTAATCATCTCAGTAAATGAATCTGTAACTAAAAATTTTAACCCAACTTTTACATTAAAATGAGTACCTGGGAAATATATTAACTAAAGTTGAAACTTTAATTTTTTTTTTTTTTTAACTAAGCAGAAATATTAGATAATAATTAACAATGCTCAGAAAAGTGGAATATGGAAAATGAGCCAGATCATATTTCTTCTTTTTACTCTGGAGTGGAACTGAAAAGCAGGCTTTTCAAACTTTGGTTTTAGTTACATTTCTTAAATCAGCAAAGGATTTGAGACCATGTTATAAACCTGCACACATGACCATGTCTACCTGTTGGAAAGAGCAGTGCTTTTAGATCCTTCTGACCAAACTCAGTCACCTTCTGTGAGCAGGAGACATCTCTGATGTACTAAATTGTGGCATTTCACTGACCAGCAGCTGAAGAGGACTACAACCACGGGCTTCCCAAGGTCAAGGCTGATGCATGAGCTGACCCCTCAAGGCACACCAGAGGATTTATGTGGGAACTCAACCTCAGGATGCCAAGGGTGTCACAGAGGAGTAAAAGTCCATCAGGAGCCACTGCCAGGCTGGGATGGACTCATGGACAAGCAGACAGTGCATTTCTGGGTGCTGGGGGCGTAGCTCTGCCCTGAGAGTGATAGCAGCTCCCCAGACATGCAGTTATCCCTCCACGCTGCAGGCAGAGGGTTTCCCTCCTCTTGTGCACTGCCACACTTGGATTGCTCTCTGTTAACATTCCCTAGTGTTTTATCTGGCAGCAATAAGGGATGCAATGCCATCTCTGACCCTCAATGGTATTCATAAAGCTGCAGCACCCTAACTCGTGTCAAAATATAATTCGATGCAAAGATTCCGTTCCCACCCTCCAAGTATTTACAGGCAAACTTAATTAGCTCTGAGGCTCACTGGCACATGAAGTGACACCAAAGAAATGGTCAGCCAGGCAAAGCTTGTTAAACAGCACAATGATTTGACAGATTCTGACTTCACCTTAATTGCCTAAATATGCCAGTTTTGAGGCAAATACACACATAATCATTTTGTGGCAGCTCTCAGCACATTTAGAGGTCAGATTCTGTAAGCAGCTATTTCTCAGACAGCTTCAGGTTGAGTCTCTTTTCTAAGCTCTTAGTCATAAGGATGCTCTTAACTGAGTCACCTCACCAGAAGATACAGAGATAGCATCTCTGTACTCTGATTTTTTTCTGCTTTGCTTTCATAGCTTGTGCTAATTCTTTCACAGGAAAATGCTTTTATATACATTTCAAGTGCCGTACACAGCTGGTCCACTACTTCTCTTTAACCTTACACAACTATTTTACATTCTCTTAATTCACCTGGAAAGACTTAAATTGTGACCTGCATTAAAAAAAGTACAGATTTCTGGAAAAATTAAATTACTCCAGAAACAAGCATATCTTTTTCTTCCCCTTTACGTTACTAAGGAAGCAACAAGTAAGGTAGCAATAAATCAGATAAATGCAACCTTAAAATAAGAGAATGAGAAATAACAAGACAACTGAGAGTGTCTACAAACTCCTTGAACTGAGAGAACTTCCAGCAAATGCTGAACTTAAAAACTGACACTTAAGGAATTATGCTGTCACAAAGATTTCCAGTAGATCACAAATCTTCCATCTGAGTTAACATGGTCACAATCAAACCATTTGCACAATGATTCAACTCTGATTTTTATATTTGCAGGTATTAAAATACTTTGGCTGATGCTTGTACATACAGACAACCAGACTCTAGTGTCTGCACATGCAAAAGAAAAGTCAAAATTGCTCCTACATGTAATTCAAGATAAAAATTGTTGGTTGTGGCTCAGAAATGCATTCAAGAATTTGCCAAAAGTTAAAGCAGATTATTAAACCAAGGGGATGTATGTTTGTAAATTCTCTTACTGATAAACAAAGTCCTCCCTACGGATAAACAAAGCCAGATATCTATTTTCAGTATTAGTACTCCAAAATCTTTAGCTGTTGTGAGCTCTCAGCTGATACTTTTGGACTTACTAGATGCAAAGTCTGAATACTTGAAAGTCAACGTAATTAATCAGTCAGATTTCTTAAATCCTGCATCACCCAGAGATGATAATTTCAATCCAGACTAGAAGTGGGCATAATGCCATATATATGTTTGCAAATATAATGATAACACACAACATGTAGCTGGCAACAAAAAATATCTGATCTGCACATAGCAGTGATATCAGGTGATATTTTTTCTCACACAGTAAGAAACTGAGAAGAAAGATAGGTCTTTAGAAAAATGAACTTAGCAGCTATACAGTTATGGGGGAACAGCCATTTCTTAGTAACACTGTTGTAAATTACACTATGATTAAGCAGAAATTTTAGGTTCCTATTTGAATTATAAAACAACAACAGAAACCAGAATACACATGCAAGTAACCATCTCCTGTACACCAAGTGGCTTGTCCTGTCCACTGAAACACAGCAACTCTGGAAACATTCAGAATTATTCTAAAATAAAAAGATATTCACTTCTGAGGGGAAATTCAGAAAGAATAAAATTTCTCTTTTGAAAATGGAACAGATTTTAAACATTCTGGAATTTTCTCTGAAAAGGAATTTTTGGTGGGGGAAGTAATTTTGGGAACAAACCTGAACAAACTTTTCAAGTATTTTAAACCATTTTCATGAAGTCTGGGGGCAGATTTGGGACTTTCTGGCATGGAGCTAATGGAGTTTCAAACTAAGATAACTCCCTTGGAGCATGTAGGATCTCATGGTAGTGAGAAGCTCTGGGGTCTTGGGATTCAGAGCAGTTTGTACTTGTTCTAGGGATGGATGGTGCTACAGAGCTAAGAGAAATTTCTGCCTGTGTTCTACCAGAAGTTTATAAAAACTAAGAGGTGTCCTTGAAACCATGAAGGATTTTTAACTGGAAACTGTCAATTTGCCAAAAGCTGTTCCACTGGTACACTTCTGACCGGTTCTTGTGAGAACCAGTGCTGATATCGTATGGGCTCTTGTGAGCACAAAATTTGCCAGTACAATTTTGTGTATTGTGACTTAGGTTGTAAATTACTCAGTGACTACTTCATGTCTCCTGATAAAGCTTAATCTTGTCAAAAGGGGGTCTCAAACTTCAGCAGGAGCTGTAGACCCTGCACCGTACTTACACATACACTTTTTCTCCCCTTTCCTCCGTTACACTGGATGTGGATTTTTAAAGGCGAATCTATTTTCAGCCTCCTCTGCACTGATATTTCATACATGGTGCTGGCTGCTGAACCACAAGCTATCAGTTTACTTTCTAACAAACACGTTCCCGTCAGCAATGTCAGCCCAGAGCCAAAGCAGGTCCTGCACTGTGCTTACCCGAGCTGAGATCCATTGAGGGTCACTTGCTCGCTCTGCAGGAAACCATTTCTCCCTGCTGCGGCCACAGCAGCTGTCACCGGCATCCTCTTCCCATCCGTTTCTGCAGTGACACTGGCTATCGAAGCTGGCTGGGAAACTTCTCTCCTGCTCTGTGTGTTTCTGAAGGCGGTTTGGTAGAAGCTGGACCTCACAGACTGCCTGTTCTGAGACAAGCGGGACGCGGCCGGGGACCTCACTTGTCCCGTCGCGCTCTCCGCGGCCAGGTAGTTTTCCTTCTCCAGGAGGTTGGTCATGCTGCGGCTGTTGCCAGGCCGGTGGTACAGAGGGACAGCGGGGCTGGGGTAGACACCATCAAGGACAGCATCACTGACAGCCCCCATGCGGGACTGTCTCTTGAAGGAGCGTCCCCTGTGCACGGAGTCGCGAAGGCTGTAGCCAACAATCTCGGAGCGAGCGTATCTCGGTGGCACAGTCCCAGCGGACCTCAGGCTATCTCCGTGCCTCATGGAGAACCCAGCTGCAATCCCTCCATTGTAGTGAAAATCACTGGACACGTACGCCAATCTTTCCGGATTTCGTTGGGGTGAAACCTCCAGTCTCCTCAGAGGCTGCCTTTGAGCTCTCTCCTCCATCGTCCTGTAAGCGATCCTTGTCCCCCAGCCATTCGTGTAAGAGGATGGGGAGGCAACCTGCTGCAGGGGGCATGAAACAACAGCAGCCACAGTAAGGTCACAGCACTTCAGATTAGCAGCAGAGAAACCAAACCAAACCAAGTAAAGACAAAAATTCTACAGCCTGCTTGCAGAATAAAAGAAAAATAAACACGTGAACGTCACCAAAGTTGTGTATCAAATGGGATCCTGCCACACTTCTCTGCCCCTCACTCGTGAAGGCAGGAAGAAGTACAGTCTAAACATCAGGAGACAGACTCTAAGCATCCAGTCTTCTGCCATGAACTCAAAATAGTTGCATAAGTCAATTAAGACAGGTAATTAACAGATTGATTATTAACGGAGATTTTTCTGTTGAAACTCCTTGGGGATTGACACCAACATCTGCTACTAAAGATAAATTCAAGGCTGTCTAATAGACAGAAGAAAATTAATCAATCAGGTATAAAAAATATTATACTCAAGTGTCTGCATATTGATAATAACCTTTTTAATATAAGGTTATTTAGCACTCATGTTCATGTGTGGTAGGAGCTAGTAAGGAGAGGCAGTCCCTTCCCTGTTTGTCTAGCCTCTTAAAAATTAAGGAGATGGTAAAACATTTCAAGAAAATTAAAACGATCATTTCACCATTTCACTGACTTCCCTAATTCTACAACTGGAATTTTAGACTATTTCCTTTTTTTCTTGTATCTAATGGGGATAGACTGTAATGGACCATTACCCTGCTTTACAATTTTCTCATTTCTAAACTCAACAAATTCATTGCCAACCTTTCTTTGTAGGATGTAAATTCAAGATTCTCAGTTTCTGGGTCATTTAAGGCCTCTCAATTTTTATACATTGTCTTGCTCTCTATATTGGACTCCATACTCCAAAACCATCCAGAACTAAATCAACTTGGGACACTCTCTGGCCTTGAAATAGAGGAGTCATGGATGAATTTTTTTTAAAAAAAATAAGCATAGGGGCATACAACCATAAAAAGCCCCATATTTTCCATTTCCATGTTGTGTTAAAGTGTAGAAATATTAAAGGCACTTTTTAAGGTAAACAGAGAAGTTTACACAAGCTATGAATTGAAAGAACAGTGCTTAGCAGATAGATGCCAGACTGAATTCCCTCAATTTCACTGTTGAGGAGATTCTGAGGGTGATAGCTAACTCAGAAAAGGAGTAAAGGTTAGATAAACTTGCAGGCTCAGGCAAAGCTCATTGGATATATCTACTTATTGTCAGAAGTTATGCAAGGATAGCTTTACCTGTTGTTTGGGGATAATTCATGTTCTTGTCAAGTACCAGTCCTTGTGGCTTTTCCCACAGGACACCCAAGTCTCTCTTTTCCTCCCACCCCCTGCCTGGTAAACTATTATTTTCTTGTGATTCCTATGTCACCTCCAGTTTTCTTTTTGTTGCTGTCTCTGGAAGGAATGGATTCATGTCAAATATTATGGACTTCAGAACAGCTGAGAGCAGAGGGTGGGAGGGCAGAGAAGGAAATGCGTTTAGGTAAATGCTTCTCTCTCTCCCCATACAGAAGCATCATCATGCTTCACTGACTGTTCCAAAGCTGGGCTATTTCTTTGAATGACAAAAAAAAGACGTGTTTTTTCCTGAGTAATCTAAAAAGAGGAAAGAATTGCCCCCTTTATACAGTTATTTACCACACACGTTTCTGCTCTCAAGCCAAATTGCTTTCAGTTTACTAAACTGATCATGCAGGAGCTTTGCTATTGAGCTGGAATGCTTTCCCAGTCACTCCTTCAAACAGGTTCACACCAGCTATGAGCTGTGTCACAAACCCTGCAGAAAACCAATTATTTATCTCAGCATTCAGGCCATGACCCCAAGAAAAGCTGGTCAGAATAGCAAGAAAATTTATGATTAGATGGATTAGAAACACCATTGTATTGCAAGGACTGTACTGCTGGAATTCTTGTAATGATAAAACAGGTTACAACAGGAGTATTTTAAATAAAGGAACCATTTAAAAAAGGAACCATTCTACCTTGTGAAAATGAAAGTATTTGTGAAACCAAAGCAATCTCTTTTCCTTTGGTTTTGGATGCTTAATTCTGAGATACAGATGTGCTGACCTGAGCAGCTGTCTGGTGGAAGGGATGAAGATCTTACAGTGTTTGCCTTAGTGGAGTGTAAATGCAATTTTTCATTTAGTAACCTCATGCCAATTCTCACAAACCAAAGAGGTCTGCAAACAGCTTGTCTGTATGACTGACTTGAATCTGGCTACTGGGCTCTGAAGTCATTGGAAGCAAGGGAGAACGTGAAGAGATTTCATTGTAAAACCCTCATTTTCTAAAAATCAGATTTTAAGAATCAAACAAACAAGCAAACAAGCATTGTAACACCATCTAAACGCAATTATTTGTGGCAACAAAATAAATAAACTAATAATAATAAATATTAATAATAAATTATTAATAAAAGATTCTAATAATAAAATAAAAATAAATAAAAATAAAAATAAAAATAAAAAATTAAATAAATAAATAAATGTGTGTGATGCTGTATTTATTTCTACTCATTGTCTTCCTTTGCTCACCTGGTTTGCCTGGTAATATGAGAAACCGTAGGGAGACCTTGGTGCAAAATCATTCTCAGTGATCCCCATGTTGTAGACACGCTCTGGTACACTGGATGCACGGTGCAGGCTGCCTGGAACCAAAGACTAATGTCAGTAAGGTCTTACCAAAACATGGCATTGTTACAGAGGATGATACTCAGTGCTAGCAAAAGGTAGCAGTCAGCACTGACATTTATATAAGCTGAAAATTGAAGAGGGAAATGATGGAGGGATATTTGCATTTTCCTGAGGATACAAGCCATTTTTTTTTTCAGTTCCCCGTATACTTTACTTAATTTTTAGCTTTTAGGAGTCTTGTGACTCGTGCAGCTATGAAAAATGTTTCAGCAAAGCAAGCTGATATTTTAAATGTCCCAGATGAGAAGCTGATTAAATGCTAAGAAACAGTGTCACTGAACTAAGAACACTTATTTTTCACTGTAACCACTTTGAATGTACATGCAAATCTATAAATGCATGGTTTACACTGGCTGACTATGACATGAAAAGTACACAAGAGAGGAAAATACTGCAGCTGTAGATTGGAGCTGAGAAACATGGGTTGATGTCTGTATCTGCTACTGTGCACCCTGGATGCAGATTTCACCATGTACAGCTGTAAACAAACAGCACACACTGAGTACAGACCCTTTATTTCACAGCTGTCTGCCTCAAATCCTGCTGTTTCTTCTCCCTCAGGTGCTAATTTAATGGCAATGTACTGGAGCAAATAATGCTTCACTAATCTTCTCCCTGCTCTACCCAAACAGCACAAAGAGTCTGCAAACAAACTATGGCTCGTGGCGCCATGAAGTTGGGTTGTCCAGTGACACTTCAAATCTGCACCTGAAAGGTTCACTAATCCTACAAATAATGTCAAAGATCCAGAGTTTATCTGCTCCGATTCCTTTTTTCCACGAACCAGCTCTGAAAATAGAGCAGCGCATTGTGATTATTTCTTCCATTAAAACCCCAAACAGGCCAACAAAACCTTCAGGCTGTTCCATTTTTTCACTAATAGAATGCATTTTCAAAAAGTGAGTGCTTCTAGTAACAAAACTTTCAAAAGCAACAGATATTAATGAAAGAATTATTTATGAGATTCCATGTTACTATGAGGCTCTGAGTATAGGAATATAATTAACACAGGTCTAAAGCGGTGAAATAGGGGTTGAAAGCAAGACCTCAAATCAGTCTGAACTAGGCTGAACAGGCAACAGTGGTTGATAAAGAAGTTAACTGGCCATCAGTTTCCAAAATATTAAATATTACCTGAGATACTACAGAACAGAAATCTAAAGAACAAATCACTGACTTGCCCAAACTGCTGAAGACCGAATTTGTGTATCCCATGGCAGACTGTGATAATTTGAGGCCTAATTCAATCATAAACTGCAATTATTTTGCTTGTATAATCATACTTTCCAATTCTCTGATTTTGGCAGATTTAAACACGAATGAGGTGATTTGTTAGGACACATTCACAGTAACTTCATGTCATGAGAATGGAATGGTGCAGCTTGGCAAAATCCATGATTTGGATTGTAATAATTCCTTCCTCACATTACAACGTTACCATAGCCCAAGGATTACCTGAGTACATGAGAAAGATACAAGAGGAAACTGCTCTCTTATACTGCAAAAAATTCTCAGAAATGTGCACCAACATCCCAAATCTACAAATTTAAATGGATGTCTCATTTGTGACGTGTAATTCCCATAGCAATGTACCATTCAGGTGCCCAGTAAAAGTCCATCTCAGGTCAGTCCTGGCTTTTTAAAGATTCACTTTCTTCATTGCTTCATATTAAAGGACTTCTATATAATAAATCTCGAAATAGAAATACCCATAAATTTCTGGTTTTTTACAGTTTGTATTTTTTTTCCTGTTTACTGTACTTAGTGAGAAAATATTCTCCATTATCTACTTAGGGCATAAAAGCCCTTTCAGCAAGTAATTTTTGTATATTTTAGGTAACTCTAAGCTTGTCTTTATTAAAAATAAAAATCAAAAAGTGAGGATAAATTAAAAATAACAAGGCAATCCATTAACTGGTTGAGGATAATCTACATACCTAACAGTTCCCTCCTCACAAAAACAAAATACAGTCAATCAAAAGTTGTACCATTATCTTTCAAACAGTCTCCTTTTTTCACCTTCAGTCTTCCTATGAAATTATCCATCAGTAAAAATTTTTCTGTCCCAGAGACAAATAGAGTATATGTCAGCCTATGGCATGTCACTTTGTAGTTATCTCTTGCTTGCTGTTATCACATCAGTAAATTATTTTGCTGGCCTTTTACCTGTAGATTTATTAGGCAGACATAAAAGGCATGCCTTTTTACTGTATGCTGGTTACTTGTGCCAAAAGTCAGTGTGTTAAAGGAAAAAGGGGGAACTGAAATGCTGTGCCTTTCCAACAGCTATGAGAGGTGCAGAAGAGGTGACCTGATCAGAACTTGCCTGTGCCAGCAAGGCTTCTTTCAGTTTATTTTCACTGTTCTACAAAAACCTTACACACCCAGAGCACTGTTCAGTTGTTTGATTTAAAAAAAACCCCATGAATCATTACTTTTAAAATTTATATTATGTTCTCATTTACTGATAGGACTAATACTTTCTGACTGTGACTCTCAGAGTTTCAAGTCTCACAAAAACTCTCTCCTCAGGAAATAAGCACATGATTCAGCCACTCATCCACAGGGGACAAACACTGTAAGAGGCCATACGACACCACACTTGATTTCCAGCAGCCAGTCAGGAAAAAAATGGGTTTGCTGCAGGCCCTGCATCGTATCTGTCAACCCAGAAGGGTATTTTGGACCACTCAGGCATCTCAGCCAGCAGCAGACACCCATGTGTGGGCAGTTGAGTGGAACTGCTTATCATTTCCCTCTCCGCTGTCAGTATGAACTGCAGCAGCTGAGGAACACCTTGGATGTGGTCAGTGCAGGGGGAAAACCCAACCCCTCCGCTCTTCTCCTCGCCTAAAACAAAAGCTGTGCAGAAGTCACTGATATTGCAGCAGTTACAAGAAAATTCTGAGACCAGGAAACAATAATTACAGTATCAGGAGGCAGCAGGCTGTACAGATGACTGAGCAGAAATCCCGTCTGTCTCCAGAGGCTCCTCTAAAGGCCCTTTTGTTCCCCTGGATGTGACAAGCCCAACACCTCCTGAGCCCTTGGGAATTTCTCCCCAAAAATCACTGCCTATGGCTGCAGACAGACCAACCTAATGCTTGCTTTGCTCTCAAAAACAACAATGACAACAGGCACCTCTAAGATACCTGGGAGATTAAAAAAGACAATTATCTCCACTAAGGAGACAAAGATATCTGTCACTAAGGAGATATCAAATAAAACATGTACAGTGGTAACTCTCTGTTGTCAGTCTTTTCCAGCACTTTTCTATTTGAATGGACACCATGAAAGCCAAATTTTGGCTTTGAACCTCTCAGTGCAGTCATCAGTGTAGCTGTACCTGCACACATCAGTCTAAGAGGAACTGAGGGGCTGTCACCCACCCTGAGTGCCGTCCTGCCGAGGGCTCCCTGTCCACTCCTGCTCACCTCCCCCACCAGGACCCTCAGCACGCCTGGACCGGCACCTTTTCATCCTTTTTTCACACTTCAGCACTCAGGATGGACTGAGGTGATGACATTTAATAATGGCATATCAAAACCATCACTGAATCCCTTCATCTCTGCATCAAAGAGCCTTCCTTCTGATTGTGCTCCTTCATCGCTCTGCCAGCACATGCCTGGTCCCAGAGGAGTTTTTCTAAGATTTTGTGTCCTCTTTTGTGTCGGTTAGGACATTTACACAAGGGTTTCAATTTAAGAAAAAGATTTCTTCTGGCTCAGGAAGCAGAGGCGAGGAGTGTAACAAAACCAACAAAAATTGAAAGTCAGCATGGATATTTTTTTCTACTTCCTTATCCCAGAAAGATAGAAACAGAAAATTACTATGAAACAGTTAACGTGCCAGCATTCTACAAAATAGAAAGCTAAGGACAGAAAAGCACCTGAGTCCCTCTAAATGCAATTGTAACAAGAAAATACTAAGAATTTAAGAAATTAATAAATGTGAGGAATAAATAAGTCTCTGATTTTCACCATCTTATATCTGATGCTGTTTATTTGGAAATCACATAAGATTTAATTCTGCTTTTATTTTTTTGTTTGTTCTTTTTATAAACACATTGTGTTTATAAAACCTGTTATAAACACGTGTTTATAAACACATTGTGTTTATAAAACCTGTTAGAAAAAGAATCAGCTCACAGGCAGCAGTTCATCAGGCCTTTAGTTTTATATGATACTTTACTCCATTCTGCCCTCATTTTTTACAGTGAAGATCTAATAAGGATGCCTTAAAAATCCAATCAAAATCCAAAAGGAACAAGATCAGAGGCAAGTGGGCTCAGAACGAAGTTTAAAAGATTCCTACAATGTACATAAAATAAAAACAGCATCTGCAACAAAGCACCAATCATTAAAGTCTGTGATTCCAAATGCCACTTTTACTTTGGTAAGATGGAACTACCTACCATTGTATTTCCACCCTTAAACAGCATCCAGAAATTTGATATGACTGCTTTAGTTGTTCAAAACTTATAAAGGCAGTGTAATCTTTAATTTATAAAGGCTCAACATTGGATAAACTGGACAAATTGCAGCTGTTGTTGAACTGCTTGTAAAGCTATTAACAAGGCTTGACAACATCTTGAAGAGTTGAGGACGTATGTAACTTTGATCATTTGGCAGCAGGTGGAATCCTCAAATCTGAAGATTACCCAATTTCTTGTATCAGAAAGAAACACACCTTCCAAAAGGAAGAAAAGGCCATGAAACGAGAAACAGTATGGGGACAGGAGGAAAAAACCAAGTTTTTCCATATAAAAGTAGTGCTGAAGGCTAAGCAGGCACCTCTAACTTGAAACTCTAAGGAGAAATTATGCTGGCTGACAAACTGCTTCTTGTGGCTTCAAAGTTTCCAGCAGAGTCAGTAGAAAATGGGTGTGCACCCATGACACTGGGCAACACCTTTCCTACCACTGATTTTTCATACCCAGTAGTTATGTGCTTGGCTAATTTTAGGCATGCTTGTGAACACTGTGGTTAGGTATGCGCCAAGTACCTTGCTGAGCAGAGTCTGAAACACTCCTACAGACAGGACAGTTATATCACAGCTCCTGTTCCCTCTAAATCTTTGTAATCCTCCCATGCAACTGCAAATAATATAGGAACCTTGATGACTGTAGCCATAAAATGGCTATAATTCACATAAAGGGATGCTTTTGCATGAAAAAAAGGGCATTTTTTGAAAAAGTTCCCTACACATCAGAATTCAAATGTTTCTCAAAGCATGGTCCGGGTTTGAGCAAGTGTGTTGTCCTGGTTTAGGGCAAATTTGGGAAGAAACCTTCGAATGGGGTCCCTGCAGAAAACAAATTCAAGCAGCCCCCACCTGGTTTGAGAAAAGATTTTCTTGGAGAAAACCAGAAAAAAACTGTTTATTTAACCAGCAAAGTATTCACAAGCATGAAAATTGAATGATATTAAACAATAAAACCTCTCTCTGTTCTGAAGAGATGGCAAATTCAGAAAGTCCTTGTTGTGGGGTGTAACTTGGCTCACTCAGTCCCTTATGAGTCTCTCCTGCATCCCAGCCCCTGGTGGGCCACAGGCATGAGATGTTTTTCTGGGTTTTCAATCCAGAGTAGGTTTGAATAGTTCCAAGAAAAAGAAAAACCACAGTCTGGGGAACTTCTCAGCCTCAGCTAGCTAAAAAAACCCAAAAAACTAAAAGTAGAGTTCTGTCCTGCTGTCTGTCTGTGCAGCACACAGCACAGTCCAGAAGGATGTGGGGCAGTGAGTGCAGGTTCTGAAAAGAAACTTTGAGCTTCTTCTTTTCCCCTCTTCCCCCTCAGAACCAGCCTTAAAAGTGCAGAACTCAATGTCCAGCACAAACAGAACGGACAATTGGGGAAACAAGCATCATGAAGTCACCCTTGGAACATCTCTATAGAAAGCACAGGGGGACACACATGCAAGTATATGCATATTTTTCAGGAGAGCCAAAATGTTAAATGCAAGATTGACTATGATTTTATATATATATATATATATATATTTATGATTTTATATATTGACATTATATATATTCAGGATATAGACAGATATACATGTATTATACATATGTATAAATTTATGGAATGCATTTCAGTTTTGATTATTTTTTTCAGAGTTTTGCAGTGGGACTAAAAATTGTACAGCAACTTCCCCATAAAAATATGTATGAAACATCTATGAAAGAAGGGAAAGTTCATTTTCTGCATGAACAAGACGTGTTACAGACAAGTCATTCTCCACCCCTTATCCTGAAGTTTAAAAGTTTTGGTGTCCCAGAAATGCAAGGGCATCAAATACTTGACCTTTAGAAAAACAAAGCAAACCAAGATAACTATCCCCAAATACATTAGGTCTGTTAATGTATTCCAGAGAAGCCAGGATGACTTGAGAGCACGGGAACTCTGTTTTCATAGTGTTTTATGCATCGTTTAGAGACTTGAGCTCACGTTCATGACACCGTATCATTTATAAACTACTGCTTAAAAAGCTTTTTGCAGGCTCTCTGTGGAGAGAAAAAGAAATTAAGCTACTCTAAAAGTGTTTAGAAACCATATTTGAATGGCACCAGCCAAGCTAAGGCTTGGCTTATTAGTTTATAACAGGCTTATGCATGTTTATCTGCACGTTGCACACCCATAATGTGATTTGTACAACTGATTTCTACAAGCAGAATATGTCCATTTTTGCCATGAGCTGTTGTTTGAAATAGAGGCCAGACAAAGAACAAGAAAATATTCGCCTGCCTGACAAGACAGATGAGTGAAGTATGTTTATAAAGACTTTTGACAGCTTTTAGCAAATGAAAGTTGACAGTTTCTTTAAGGACAAAGGAGTAACAGGGCATGTAGCCAGTCATATCTTCCCATTTAAAAACGAAATTAAAGTTTCATGGCATATAAAGTTTTCATGAATAGTTAAGACTAAAGCCTTCGAGCACGTTGCCTTTAACCCTCAGCACCTGGCAGTCACCCTGTGGGTGCCTGACATTGTGGTCGGGCTCTGCTTGGGGCACAAGGCGTGGCTGCAGATTTCCTGACGGGTCCGGCCTTCTGGCCACCAGATCTTGGGAGCGAGGGATGATTGACGTCAATTTGTACACGCATGTCAAAGAACTGGGTAAATAATGCCTGACAGCATTATCGTCCTGTGCTTCCCATTCCTGCCTTTCCGAGAGTTACTTTTCCAAACTTTTATTTATTTATTTTAATTTCACGGTTAAATAAGGCAGAGCTTTTCCTACGATTCTTCCCATTTGGCTTCGCAGACAGGAGCAGTGGGTAAAGCTAAAGGCATTACAATAGGCACATAAAGCTGCTGCTGGATCAGGAGAATTTCGGCTCGGTTCCGCCCCCGGGCAGCGGAGAGTTACGGCAGAGCTCGGCAGGGAGAAACTTACGACTCCCGGCGGTGGGAAGAGAGTAAAAGAAAAGGCGGCAGAGCCACGATTTTCTGCCCGAGCAGTCGGCAGGGCGCAGGGCAGGGAAGCCGCGGACACGGGGCCGGCGGGGGTCGCGGTCCCTTCCCGTGCTCCCGCCGCCAGCGCGGAGCATCGCGCTCGGGGAGGGCACTCACCATTGTACAGCGAGCCCCGGCTCTTCCTGGCCAGCGTCTGCTGGACCTGCCGGTGGATCCGCAGCGCCTTCTCCTCCCCGGCGCGATCTCCCGAGAGTTTGAGCCGGTCCTCGGAGGGCAGCGCCAGGCTGGAGCTGTCCAGCTCGCCCAGGATCTGCTGGCCCAGCACGGTGCGGATGTAGCCCTGCTCGGGCCCGCGGCCGGCCATGGGCACGGCCGGGCCGGGCTCGGCTCCGCGGACCTGTTGCGCCTCCGCCGCTTCCCCAGCGCCGGGCCCGGGCCGCGCCCCGCCCGCCGCACAGGTACCGGGCACGGCCCCCTCCCGGCCCGGCCCGCCCCTC